AACTAGCAGACATCTTTACAAAAGGGCTAAACCATTCCARACAYCAAGGTCTSTGTGACAAGTTGGGCATGATTGATATCTATGCCCCAACTTGAGGGGGAGTGTTGACAGGTGTATTATATGTACTATACACAGGTTTAGTGCCTGCAGGGGTATTTTTGTAATTTTGTAGACCACTTGTGTTGCACGGCCAGTATAGTATAAATACTATGCTTCACTCGACTGAAGCAGTTCTTTTGAGGCCTTAACTCAATAGCCTCCTCTTCTTCTTCTTCTTCTTCTTCCTTCTTTCCTTTCTTCTTCTCCTTCTCCTGCTCAACATACAGATTTAGCCCATGGCACATAGTTCTCACCATTTAATTTGATAGAGGTCATCTAAACATTTAGGTAATCCGGGGGAACCACAACACTAGACTTGTGTTCACTACTATCTCCCATATCTGATTTTTTTTTTCTTTTCTTCACTCACCTGTATATCACACCACAAAACCCTAATTCACTTTGTTATCCTCCACTTTCAACACCACAAAACCCTTCAAATGCACACCACACACCTAGTACTAGATCTGCAGCCAATCAACCATCAAATCACACTATAACACCTATACTACACAGTACACACTACAAACCAGACCTGCACTCGACTGAACACTGCACCACCCGAAGCTGCTCTCTTCGTACCATCGATTAGAGAGCTTCCTACAAATCACCACAAACAACCACCACATCACAAACTGGAGGCATGGAGACCTCCTAAGGGAAAAAACAATCACTCCTTTGCAGCCTTTCTCTTAATCTCCAAGGAATTCTTGAGAAATCTGCAAAACCCTAGAGAACTTGGCGATAAAAAAAATTCTGGGCAGATCTGAACTTGTTATAGCAGCTCTGATACCATGTGAATAGACCGATTAGCCCTAGTTTAGTTCTAGGTAAGAAGAAGAAGAACAAGAACAAGAACAAGAAGAACAAGAACAAGAACAAGAAGAAAGAGAAAGAGAGAGGAGAAGGAAGGGTTCGATTTAGGAGAAGAAAAGTCAATCCACCCAGCCGGCCCACTTTGTATTCATATTCTGTGTTGGTTTACAAAAGACAATGTTGTCCCTCATTAAGTATGGGACACAATTTAAATACAGACAAAACAGACTATTCAACCTTAATTAGATAGACAAAAGACTTAACTACCCTTGTACTGTCGGTCCTAACAATTACCAGCTGCCAACTTGATGCAACTATCCTCCTATATTTGGGCTTGGGACTGGCAGTGTAAGACAAGCTCACCCCAGAAGAGTTAACTTCTACATGTCAAAAAAAGAAAATAGAAACACGACAATAGCCCAACTACATATGAGGAATATATACTTACCCCCAATATAATTCTATCTATAATTCTTCTAGACAGGCTGTTGGACCTACCTCCCTTATGATATGGTGCAAGAACCAAGGACCTTCCCTTACATTTCTCATATATTCTATTACTTGAGAGTCCCCTTCAACTTGTACTCGAAGTAATGCTGGACCAGTAAGTGGCTAAAATTTTTTGAAAATCAAAAGTTATGTTTTCATGAGTATCTAATTCAAAACAAGGGATGTTGGGCAGGTTCTAGATGGGGTTTTAAAGCTGATATTGCAACAATTGGCTGCCAAAAGCATATCAGTCTGAAGGTGTGCTTGCTTGGTTTTGACACTTTGCTAAAACATAAGCAGTAACCACGAAAGGGGCTGGGAGAACTTAAGAATGTTCAGAAATAAGAAAGAAAACAGGTCTTGGTTATGCTGTTTAGGGACTGAAGAAACTTGATAAAAATGACAAGTGGATAAAGGAAGATAGGGAAAGAATAAGAGAAGAAATAGGGGTAGGGGAATGATTAAGAAATGAAGAATGAATAGCTAGCAAATTGTCTGGAACTGTTTGCTTGCATCTGTTCTCTTATTGCAACCTAATAATCAGACACCAGAAAGACGGAGCAAACCTCCACATTTAGCTAGCTAAAGTTTCTCTTAACTTCCTCCCATTGCTTTTATATGGTTAAGCATAGTTAATACAACATACAAGATATTTCTCCTATTCTCTTGAAGTGATTCCCCAAATTTTTATAGCTAAGGTCTTATCATTCTTCCTTCTATTATCCTATCATTGGTTTTCTGTAGACGTTGCTGTAGATGTTACCACAGAGCACAGACAAGTGGATAACATCATAAAATGTGTCTCTAACTTGCCTACCTTAGCCCATCCAGAAAAAAAGAAACACATGCCTTTTTTTTCCTTTTTTGTGATAAACTAATCATCACCTAGGTACTGACTGCTCAATATATTGCATGGGGAGGCCAAAACAATTAGTCATTGCCTGACTTCATTAACAAAACTTGTTCCTTTCATCTTGACCCACCCAGAAATTGATCAAGTCCATGATATTGTTGAGAGTCCAACTCCAACCACATCTTTACATCGAACACTTTATCTTGGTGTTCTCTCACTGCAAGAGGATGGATACTTTTGTTGTCTATTGGCACCTCTTCATTAACTAAAGAAAGCTTTTGGTTTACTACTTTAGTATATTGATCATTCTGTGGCATCTACAAGAACTTGGATGCTGACTCATGTGTAATTATATATACTTATCTTCGTACTTGTATACTCTTGTCTGTAGATGTGAACCAAGTGAAAAGAGTAAGGTTTGCATCTCCTGGTACTGTTTTTCCCCTCAGAGACAAGCATGATGTGTTACATGCCGAGGGAGCTTACACACCAAGATGTAAGTTTTCCTTTTTCCTACCTGACAAGTGCTCAATTTTTCTGGGGTCCATATTGTTTCTATGACCAACTTATTTCCCTTATCTTTCATTTTACTTCTATTGTATCTTAGTTTTGTTTGTAGTGCCATAGTGTTATATATATTGTCTTCTATTTGATGGGAAGTTAATTTGCAGCTAATGGTCCTAAAACTTCTGAGTATGCTTTTTATAAGAAAATAAGAGAAGCTGCTGGCAAAAATCTCTGTTGTCATAAACAGGAATACCACTTGAAGAAGTTTGAATCAAGTAACTGTACTGAAGGTATGTTGTTTTTTCTGATACCTAGTGATTCTTGTGCAGATTATTGAGGAATTAAATTTTTAGGAGACCATGTTCTACTGATTACTCAATACTTCTTTTTTTATTCACTCAATTTTTGACCTTGTAAGATATCAGGACATAGATTTTTAGTCAGTCCTTGACCATGATATATACCATGCAGATTTGGCAAATGTGGTCAAACACAATTGTGAGGAGATAAGACCTCTATTGTCCATTGAGAAGTCTACATCCATTGATCTCAGGAAATCCTTTTCACTGATTGGAGTCTCAAAGGATTCAGGTGTGCACTGTAATTGGTAGTTTCAGGGCCCATTTGGTTCATGGGAATAGGGGTCTGGAATCGGAATCAGAATAGTCCATTCTGATTCCAACCATTTGGTTGGGTGGAATCAGAATCCCATTCCCATTACTGGTGGAATCCATTCCCCTATTTGAGGGAATGGCCATTACCTCGCCCTCCCTTGGGAATGAGAATCTCTTCCAGCTGATTCAGATTCCAATTCCCATCTGAACCAAACAGGTGGGAGGAATAGACTATTCTGATTCCAATTCTGATGGATTTTTTATTTTGACTGCGAACTAAATGGTTTCCTCTGCTTCTTGTTTGGAAACAGTGTGAGACTTTCCTTTTTACATTGGGAATATCATATTTCATCATCATCATCATCATCATTAAGCCTTGTCCCAACTATATGGGGTTGGCTACAAGAATCCTGTTTTGCCATTTTGTTCCATTCAGTGCCATATCCATGGTTAAATTATGAGCCCTCAAGTCATTTAAATTGGGAATATTATATTTTCTTCTTTCAATCCCTCTATTTCACAACATATCTTGCATGTCACCATTTTAATTGATTATTTTATAGCACTTCTTGTTTATATGAAATATTCTTCTCTATCCTATGTGTCAAATCTACTGCTTGATTGATTGTGATTGCTTTTGTTAGGTGGTGTTTGATAAATCTGAAAATTCAGATTTGAAAAGTTAAAAAGATATTAAAAGTGTCTGAAATCTGAAGAGGCATAGATGCTTTTCTACTTTTGAGAGGATCTGAATCCATAAGTTTGTTTGTGTTGGATCATTTAATAAATAAAATGATTAAAATTAAAAAAATAATTAATGACTATAAAAATATTAAAATAATTAATAATTTACACAAATAAAAATAAAAATAATTTTTAAAAATTTATGATATAATTAAAAATTACTAGTTAATAAAAATAATTAATAATTAATAAATAAGACAAGTATATTTAATAAAAATAATTAATGTTTAATACAAATATTAAAAAAAATAATAATTAATAAAATTTTTAATTAATAATTAATAAAAATATTATTATTATTCACCGAACCACCGTTGCTGCATGTTGCGGTGGTGGTGGCGGTGGTGGGGAGACAGGGGAGGGAGAGAGAGAGAGAGAGAGAGAGAGAGGTCGAATGGGGAGGGGTAGTTTTGACTTTTGGCCACGTCTGAAGCGCATCTGAACGCATTAAGCGACTGCCCTTAGTCTAAACATTTCAGATCTGAAAAAAGTTTTCAGACCCTATTTTAGATGCAACAACAAACAAAGGTGGCATCTGAAAAGCAATATTTTCAGATTCAGACGTCTGAAAAGTGCAATCAAATGCCACCTTAGTGTCGACTGTATAGGGGTAGTTTAGTTTTTCTATTTATGTTTAAGCTGATGTGTAATGTTTATGTTAAGTGATGTGTCCCATACTTAAGTAGGGACATAATCGTCAGTAGAAATATGCTGAAATAAAAAATATGAAAGAAAAGAGTGTTTTCTTGAAGGGAGAAGGAAGAGAGAAGAAGAGATCTTGAGAACTAACATAACACAACTAACATAACTGCTGTGGTCCCCACTTCCTATCTAATAACTAACATAACACAACTATTCTTAAAACAACACAAAACTAACTAATTTTCAACATGGTCTTTTGTTTTATTTAATAGAAACCTATAAATATAACCTGGCCGACTAGAGAAATTGACTTTTTTTTTTTTTGATAAATAGAGAAATAGACTTTTCTCTCTAGTTCGAACCAGTTTTCTCCTTCTCCTCTCTTCTCTTCTCTTCTTCTCTCTTCTAATCTTCCTCTAATACTATTTCTAACAGAATTCTAGTGCAGGTCTGAACTTTATCATGGTATTAGAGCCACTGTGACAAAATCAGATTTGCCCAGAATTCTGTTCTATCGACATTCAGCCTAGGGTTTTACAGTTTTCTTCATCATCTGTTGGAGATAGGGAAAAGGGCTGAAAAGGAGTGATCGCCCTTTCCCTTTGGAGGTTTTCATGCCTTCCGTTAGTGGTTTAGTGGGTGCTTGTGGTGGTTTGTAGGAAGCCCTCTAATTGATAGTACGAAGGGGGTTGTTTCAGGTGGTGCAGTGGACAGTCGAGTGTCAGGTTGGTTTTTGGTGATCAAATAGGTGGGCTATATGTGTTTCAGTGTGAATTGAGTGGTTGGTGAGTTGCTAGTGTTATGGTGTGTATTCAAGTAATTATCTGGTAGTTTTGTGGTGCTGAAAGTGAAGAAATCAGTGACGGGTATTGCTGAAAATTGTGACTATAGGTGGTTTCACTAGTGTGCAGTGTGGTGAAAAGTGATTTAGAAGTTTGATACATGAGAAAGAAAAAAGGAATTCAGATATGGGAGACAGTAGTGAACACAAATCTAGTATTATGGTTCCCACCGACTACCTGAATGTTCAGATGACTTCTATCAAATTGAATGGGGAGAATTATGTGCCTTGGGTGAAATCTGTAGAGGTCTTTCTTAGAGCTAAGAAGAAAGTGAAGCATGTAAGAGAATAAAAACTGCCCGTTGACTCTCAGGAGTATAGTGATTGGGAACAAGAAGATGCACAAATTATGACCTAATTATGGAATAATATGGAACCCAAGATCAGTGTGAATTTTATGTTCCTAGATACAACTAAGGAAATTTGGGACCATGCCAAGAAGTTATACTCGGGACAAGACAATACTACTAGAGTGTATCAACTTTATCAGAAGTACTTTAATCTGCATCAGGGTAATCAGAGTCTTGAGGAGTACTATGTTAGCATGAGGAACCTTCGTAATGAGTTGAATGTGTACCGTCCCCTCACTTATGATGTTAAGATTCAGCAACAACAGAGAGAACAACTAGACGTGTCCAGATTTTTAGTAGGGCTGAAATCTGAATATAATGAGAGCACAGATACTAGGAGGGTCATCTCTTCTGTCTCTAGTAGAGGTGTTTGCCCATCTCCGGAGGATTTCTGTTGGGCCCATAGAGAATTCTACTATCTCTTACAGGTCTGCCTTTGTAGTGACGAGAGGGGGAGGCCGTGGTGTTAGAGGTGGAGCTTGGGGAGTTCAGTCCAGTCGTAATGGTGGTGATGGTGAACCCATGTATAGTCGTGGTGGTGGGCATGTTGGTGGTTGAGATTCAGGGGGAGCTCGTGGCAGAGGATGTAGTAATGGTCCGAGGAAGTGTACACACTATGGTATGGAAGGTTACACCATTAACTTTTGTTATGATTTGCACGACCCACCTTCAACTTGGGCAAATCATGCAGTGGGCAGTGATGGTAATTCAAGATAGGATATCCAATAAGTTGATCAGATGCCCTCTACATCTATGGATGTCTCTAGGAAGGAGATGATGAGTGTCCCGTGTGATGAGTATGAGTAGTTTATCTAGGCCACCTCTCAAAAGAATATACCTACTCTTGCACATTCAGGTATGGCTTGTCTGGCATCCAAACCCACTTCTTGGATTATCGACTCTGGAGCTTCCGATCATATGACTGGGACTCCAGGTGTGTTTTCCTCCCTTTCACAGTGCTCCACATCACATTTTGTTACCTTGCTAATGGTTCACATCCTCCATTTGTGGTGTTGGTATGTTGACATAGACCCTTTATCCCTGTCCTTAGTTTTGTATGTTCCCAAATTCCCTTTTAATCTTATGCCTATTAGTAAGCTAACCAAGTCTCTTAATTGCTCTATCATCTTTTACCCCTCTTCTTGTGTTTTTTAGGATATCAAGATGGGGATGAAGATTGGTGGAGGGCATGAAGTCGGTGGACTATATTATCTTGATGGTGGTGGTGGTTCATCAACAGCTCTTCAGACAACTCTTTCTCCTCTTCAGTGGCATTGTAGACTTGGTGATCCATTGCTTAAAGCACTGAAGTCACTTATTCCATCGTTGAGTCGTCTTTCTGTTTTGGATTGTGAGTCGTGTTAGTTGGGGAAATATCATCGTGTTCTCTTTAGTCCTAGGGTTGATAATCGTATGTCGACTCATTTTTCTTTAGTTCATTCAGATATTTAGGGTCCAAATAAAATAGTGTTATACAATGGTTATAAATACTTTGTTATTTTTGTTGATGATTATTCAAGGATGACGTGGCTTTACCTAATTGAAGAAAGGAGTGAGTTGTTTTCCATTTTCCAAAAAATTTATACTAAAATTCGCAACCAATTTGGTGTATACATTAAGATTCTTTGTTCTGATAATGGCCGCGAATACTTTTATACACCGTTTCAGGAGTACTTGGAACAACATGGCATTATCCATCAAACTTCATGTACCTACACACTTTAGCAAAATGGGGTGGTTGAGAGAAAGAACCGCCATGTTTTGGAAACTGCTCGGTTCCTTTTACAACATATGAATATACCCAAACGTTTTTGGAGTGATGTTGTGCTTACATCTTGTTTCCTCATTAACCGGATGCCCAATGCCCATCCTTGAAGGTCATTCTCCTTTCACCACTTTGTTTCCTACCTTGTCTCCTTTCCCCCTTGCTCCCACGGTTTTTGGGTGTGTATGTTTTGTTTATAATCTTGGACTTGGAATGGACAAATTAGATGCACGATCCACCAAGTGTATCTTCCTTGGCTATTCCCGGACCCAGAAAGGGTATAAGTGTCATAACCCCAATTCTTCATCGTCGACAGATCCGACAGTTGTCCCCCCACCGGCTCCACCTTCTATTTCTGGCCTTGATCTTCCTATTGCCTTGTAGGAAGGTAAACACAGTTGCACACTTCATCCTATTTCCAATTATGTTTCTGTATCTCACCTTTCTGCTTTCCATCATCAGTTTATTTCTCTGTTGTCTTCTATTTCGGTTCCTATAGATGTCCAAGAAGCCCTTGCCTATCCAGGGTGGCGCCATGCAATGGAAGAGCTCTCAGCTTTGGCTCATAATCACACATGGTATACACTGTTAAGTATTTACCTGATCGTAGTGTAGAGCGATTGAAAGCTCAACCG